GAGACGGAGTTTCGCTCTTGTTACCCAGGCTGGAGTGCAATGGCGCGATCTCGGCTCACCACAACCTCCGCCTCCTGGGTTCAGGCAATTCTCCTGCCTCAGCCTCCTGAGTAGCTGGGACTACAGGCACGCGCCACCATGCCCAGCTAATTTTTTGTATTTTTAGTAGAGACGGGGTTTCACCATGTTGACCAGGATGGTCTCGATCTCTTGACCTCGTGATCCACCCGCCTCGGCCTCCCAAAGTGCTGGGATTACAGGCTTGAGCCACCGCGCCCGGCCCCCAACCATCCACTTTCAAACAGCAAATCCCACATTCCCCAAGCTCTTTCCCCAATTTACTTTTCTTCTTAGCCTGTTCAACACTTGACATGGAATCCACTTGGTTTCTCTTCTGACTCACCATCCAGCATGGCACAGTCTAATGCAGCAGCCACTGGCAACATGTGATGGTTTAGCCCTTGAAATGTAGCCAGTCCGACTTGAGATGCACTGTGCTGTGGAGTATAAAATACATACTGGATTTCAAAAGCATGCAGGGGTCAGGTGTGGTGGCTCACATCTGTAATCCCAACACTTTGGGAGGCCAAGGCAGGTGGATCATTTGAGGTCAGGAGTTCAAGGCCAGCCTGAGCAATATAATGACTGTTTCTACTGAAAACACAGAAAATTAGCTGGGCATGGTGGCACATGTCTGTAATCCCAGCTACTCAAGAGGTGGAGGCAGGAGAATAGCGTGAACCCAGGAGGTGGAGGTTGCAGTTAGCCAAGATTGCACCACTGCACTTCAGCCTGGGCAACAGAGCGAGACTCCATCTCAAAACAAACAAACAAACAAACAAACAAACAAACAGCATGCAGGACAGCCTGGCCAACATGGTGAAATCTCATCTCTACTAAAAACACAAAAATTAGGCTGGGTGAGGTGGCTCATGCCTGTAATCTGAGCACTTTGGGAGGGAGGCCAAGGCAGGCAGATCACCTGAGGTCAGGAGTTCAAGAGCAGCCTGGCCAACATGGTAAAACCCTGTCTCTACCAAAAATACAAAAATTAGCCAGGTGTGGTGGCTTGTGCCTGTAATCCCAGCTACTTGGGGAGACTGAGGCAGGAGAATTGCTTTGAACATGGGAGGCGGAGATTGCAGTGATCTGAGATCATGCCACTGTACTCCAGCCTGGGTAAGACAGAGTGAGATTCATCTAAAAAAAAAAAATTATTAGAGGGGTGTGGTGGCAGGCGCTTGTAATCCCAGCTATTTGGGAGGCTGAGCCAGGAGAATCACTTGAACACAGGAGGAGAAGATTTAGTGAGCCAAGATCCCACCACTGCACTCCAGCCTTGGCAACAGAGCGAGACTCTGTCAAAAAAATAAATAAATAAAACACATTATTACAATTAACATTACCTGTTTTTATTTTTATTTTAAACAAGGCTAACAATTTAATCAATTTAAATTACATATCTCGCTGACCAAGTATAAGTGGCTGGCTTATACTTCTACTGCACAGTGATGACCCAGAATGCTAGCCACTTTAAAATTTAACAATTACGGCCGGGCATGGGGGCTCACTCCTGTAATCCCAACACTTTGGGTGTCCAAGGCAGGTGGATCATCTGAAGTCTGGAGTTCAAGACCAGCTTGACCAACATGGCGAAGCCCTGTCTCTAACAAAATTAGCCAGGTGTGGTGGCACATGCCTGTAATGCCAGCTACTCGGGAGGCAGAGACAGGAGAATCACTTGGACCAGGGAGGCGGAGGTTGCGGTGAGCTGAGATTGTGCCATTGCACTCCAGCCTGGGCAACAATAGCAAAACTCCATCTAAAAAAAAAAAATTAACAATTACCCACGTGAGCTAGGTGTGGTGGCCTGTGCCTATAGTCCCAGCTATTGGGAGCCTGAGGCAAGAGGATCAGTTGAGGTCAGGAGTTAAACCTGTGGGATGATTGTGCCTGTGAAGAGCCACTACACTCCAGCCTGGGCAACATAGTGAGACCCAATCTCTAATAAACTTTTCTAAAAATATATAATTAAAAAAAGGAATAGGCTGAGCACCATGGCTCATGCCTGTAATCCCAACACTTTGGGAGGCTAAAGCAGGAGGATGGCTTAAGTCTAGAAGTTTGAGACCAGCTTAGGCAATATAGAAAGATCTCATCTCTACAAGAAATAAAAAATTAGCTAGGCATGGTGGCACATCTTGTAGTCTCAGCTACTCAGGAAGCTGAAGTTGGAGGATTGCCTGAGCTAGGGAATTTGAGGCTGCAGTGAGCCATGATCACACCCTTGCACTCCAGTCTGGGCAACAGAGTGAGATCCTGTCTTAAAAAAAAAAAAAAAAGGGTGGTGGGGAAGAAAAAGAAAAAAAATAGGCATAGTGCAGTTACACCTGTAATCCTAGCTCCTAGCTCTTTGGGAGGCGGAGGCAGGAGAATCACTTGAGTCTAGGAGTTCAAGACCAGCCTGGGCAACAGAGCCAGATCTCATCTCTATAAAAAAAATTAAGACATGTATCTTGCATCTGTTTCTACTAAGGCATTCTAAGGCAGCGCTGGCCTACAATGTTAGCCCAATAAGGCCAGGTATTTTTTTTTTCTGCTCACTGCCCATACAGTGACTGACACACAGTAGGCGCTCAATGACATTTTAATGAACGAATAAGAAGCTGAGCTTTCAGGAACTGGCTTGCTCAAAGAGCAATGTGAAGCTGACCACGTTCCATGCCCCGCCTCCTCAGTGCACCAGAGAAGAAAACTGAGGCCTGGCGAGGTGACGTAAGCACCTGCCTAACGGCACATAGTGCAGAAACGTCGGGACCGGGATTCGAACACAGGTCCTGTCCCCGTAACCTCGGCGTGCTGACCGTTCCTACCTTAATGGGAGGCGGCGGCAGGAAAGGCAGGTGCGGAACACACGGCAAGAGCTCGACCAGAGGCGCCTCTCCTCAGTCACCGCCTTCCGTCAGCCTCCAAGATCCAGACCCCAGCTCGCCCCCTCCGCGGCCATAGCTGGCCTCCCGCGTCTCCGCCTGCCGCGGAGCCCTCCGCAGGCGGCGCCGACCGGAAGTCCCGCCTCTCCCGCGCGCCTGGGGGCGCCGCGACAGCCACGCCGACCAATGAGCAGCACGCCGTGTCGGTCGCTGGCCAATGGGCGCGCGCGCCGGGGGGGCGTGTCCGGGCCGCGGGGCCGGAGCGGGTCGTGCGCGCTGAGGAGGAGCCGCTGCTGCCGTCGCCGTCTCCGCCACCGCCGCCACCGCTACCGAGGCCGAGCGGAGCCGTTAGCGCCGCGCCGCCGCCGCCTCCCGCCCGCCCCGGAGCAGCCCCGGGCCCGCCCGCCCGCTTCCAGGTGAGGCGGTGGGGGGCCTTCGGCGGCGCCCGACGGGGTAGGCCGCGGCAGGCCTGAGCTCGCCTGGCCTGGCCGCGGGGCGCCCGCGGGCCTGCACCGGCTGAGGCCCAGGCCGCGCCGGACCGAGGGAGGGGACGCGCACGGGGACCGCGGCAGGCGGGCCGGGGCGGACCGATGTGGGCGCCAGCCACAGGCCCCGGGGCCGGATTCCTCGGGCACCTCGAGGGACGGGCGAGAGGGACACGGCGTGGGCACGCGCCAGGGGGCCGGGCTGCACCGCCGGGGCCCCGGTCGTCTTGGAAGCCCGGGCTCCGGGGGCGGGAGAGTGAGGCCAGCGGCGGGGGAGCGCGGGGAGCGCTTTGAGCGCGCGGAGGTCAAGGCCCACGGGCTCGCTCCCCCGGGAAATCCCACAGATTCTTTTGTGGTCGTTGTCAGAACACCGCGGCCGGTGCGAGGTCCTTTGAGAAGTGTGCAACCCTTCGGTAGGCACACTGGGAGTCCTGGCGGGGGGGTGGGGAATCTAAACTGCATCTATTTTTTTTTGAGCGCCATCTCTAACAAAGCTGTTTGTGGGGCGTGGGACGTTAGGATTTGTGAAATATGTGTGTGTGTCTTGGAGACACAAGCTGCCCGGAGTTGAACAATGGAGGATGGATGCTCTTCCTTCCTTTTCCGGTGCTCTGGGCTGCGGGGCTTGTTAAAATGGGTTTTGGTCCCTACTGTGTGCAGAGCAGGTGGAGAAGGAGAACTTCTGCTCAACTTCTGCACGGGCTTCCCGTGGCGGGACTGAGCCCCCTTGCTAGAAAGTGTTCATCTGGGATCCGGATGGCCAGTGCTCCAGAAGTAGAAGATCAGGAGAACGATCTGGCTAGGCAGGGGTTTCTCAACGTTGGTGCTAGTGATGTTTGGGGTCAGATAGTTTTTGGTTGTGTGTGGTGGGGGGCTTCCCTGTGCAATCTAGGAAGTTGAGCAGTATTTCTGGCCTCTACCCACTAGATGCCAGCAGTATCCCCATCCTCCAAATCGTGAGGATCAACAATAACTCCAAACAGTGCCAGATGTCCGGGGTTTCGTGGGCGGGGGGGTGTGGGGGGTGGTCTCCTCCGCGCTCTCCCACACACACAGGTGAGAACCATAACTGAACTAAATAGCCTTCCTGCAGAAGTTCCTCTAGCCCCAATCTGAGGCGATTCTCCTGCCTCAGTCTCTCGAGTAGCTGGAATTACGGGCGCCCTGGAAGATGTTTCCAAGACCTCAAACAAGCTCGATTCTGTTGACCCTTAGTTTTCTTGTCTGTAAAATGGGGAGGACAAAAGTGTGGTGCACATTGAAGAGTGTGAGAAACTCGTTGCATTGTCGTGGTCTGTGCCTGGTAGGCACTGAATTAATGATGTTATACATAACCACCAGCTTTTATTGAGGATTTACTATGTGCTTGACACTTTGTGGACGTTTGTCTCCAGTCCTTGAGGCAAGTGATGTTATAATTTCCATTTTAGAGATGAAGAAACTGAGGCTTAGATGGGTTGCTTGATACGACTAGTCTCATACACTGATGTGGCCGTGTCAGGGTTTGAACTTGGGCCCTTTGATTAAAAACCCTTACTCTTCACTACCAAGTTGTACTGCTCCTAAAATCGAAAGGCTCCAGGGCACACCACTCAGTTGTCATCGAATACCTTCTGTATGCAAAGTTCTGTGCCGGGATGTATTATGAAATTCTGCAACTTCAAAGCCCGCAGAGTCTGAGATATATGAACGTCTCCGAATGTGGAAGGAAATAATATTGTTCATGTTGACACATTGGTTTTGAGCAGGCAGAGTTTCAGTTTGGATGTGTTGAGTCTGAGATCATGGTGCTATTTCTTTTTCTTTCTTTTTTTTTTTTTTTTTTTTTTTGAGATGGAGTTTCACTCTTGTCACCCAGGCTGTAGTGCAGTGGTGCCATCTGGGCTTACTGCAACCTCTGCCTTCTGGGTTCGAGCAATTCTCCCGCCTCAGCCTCCCCAGGAGCTGGGATTATAGGCGCCCGCCACCACGCCCGGCTAACTTTTTGTATTTTTAATAGAGATGGGGTTTCACCATGTTGGGCAGGCTGGTCTCAAACTCCTGATCTCAGGTGATCCACCCACCTTGGCTTCCCAAAGTGCTGGGATTACAGGTGTGAGCCACCATGCCCAGCCCTTGGTGCTATTTCAAGTAAAAGAAATGAGAGAATTATGAAAACACTGGCCTCCTCATGCTTTCTTGCCTCTCTCTCTCTCCGCTTCCCGTCTCTTCCCTCTTTCTACACTCCTGCAGCAGTTTTCTTCTGTAAATGCACATCTAATTGTGTCCTTCTGGTTTAAAGTCTTTGGGCAGAAAAAAGACACGTTTTCTTGACCTCTTTGGTGGCTTAAAAGATGAAGCTAGAGGCCTTATTTGGGGTGCCAGTTCCTTCACACCCTAACCCTCCTTGCCCCTGGACATAGACCCCAAACTCTAATCCTTGCTGCTGGTTGCAGCCTCCACCAGGAGACAGATCTCTTCCACCTGGAGATCCGTTGCTCATGCTCCATGGCTCAGCCCGAAGCTCACTGGCTGTTTGAAGCCTCGCCTGATGGCTTCCTCCACCCCCACCGGAATCAACTGCTCCCTTCTTAGTGTTCCCATCCCGTTCAGTTTATTGAATCGAATTGAAGGCTGAATGGTGAGAGAAACACATCACGCGGCTGGCGCCCCTAGGTGGCAGTAGCGAGGCGGCACGGCCGACCCGAGCTGTGGGTCAGGGGAAGACCGACGGAAGTCAGCCTGTGGGAGGGAAGTGAGGCTCGCTCCGTCCTCTGAACAACTCTCCCTTACGCACCTGCCCTGCTGCTGTGTCCTGGGCCCCCGCTCAGCTCTAGAGAGTGTGCATGATGTGTATAGGTCATCTCAGCCCACTCTGGTGAGTGCGGTGAGAGTTTTGTCGTGATTGATATGGAAGCCCAGAAAAGGGACCTGGGTGGGCACAAGAGATCCCAGAATGCTTCCTGGAGGAGAGGGGGCAGGACAGGTGGAGAGGAGCTAGCCAGGCAAAGACAATGGGGCGAGGTTTTGTAGGACACAGCAAAGCCCAGAGGTGGGAACATCGAAGTGTGTTCAGAGAACCACGTGGGGTCTTCAGGGGCAAAAAGACTGAAGTGGGCAGTTGTGGCAGGAGTGCTCAGGTGTCCACTGGGTGAGGACTTGGGAGTTATCCTGCGGCTAGGCCAGGGGTGGCTACTGAGCAGTTTTAGTTCACTGCTCACCCTGGTCGAGAGGCTGGGGGAGAGACGAGAAACCAGTTATGGGCTGTTGCAGTACTGAGGTGGCCCTGTAATGGCTGAACTGCTGAAGGTCAGGACTGGGACTGCTTCTTTATTTTGTATGCCTGATGCTTTACTCTGTGCCTGGCACGTGGTTGATATTTTGTCTGTACCAGGGGAAGGAAAGATGAGCAGACCACTCAGAAGTGACTGGATCCAGGTACCTTTCAAAGAGACATCAGTAGCTAGGTGTGTTGGCTCACATCTGTAACCCCAACAGGTTGTGAGGCCACGGTGGGAGGATCGCTCAAGGCCAGGAGTTCAAGACCAGCCTGGGCAACATAGTGAGATCCCCTCTCTACAAAAACAAATTTTTTAAGAGCAAGACATTTATAAGGGGAAAGAATCACAGGAGAGAGAACAATCCTGAACAACTCGATGGCCAGACTCATGTCACCGTGAACAGAAACAGGCAGACTCAAGGAAGGGGAGTGACTAGGAAGAATAAGATGAAGCTGGGTTTAGAGACACTGAGTTTAAAATCCCTTTTAGGAGTTGGTCTAGCGGGAGCAGACAGGAGTCTGAATAGGGATGGTGGCAGAGAGGTGGGAGGACAGTGAGAGACAGATCTCACATGTCAAATTGGTGGGACATGGTGCCTGATTAGGTCCAAGGGATAGATAGAGGTGGCATGGGGGACAGGTGGGGCCATGCCACCAAATGAAGTAATTCAGGAGGTGGAGATGGTTTGAAGAGAGGGCAAGGACAGGAGGAGAGGAGATGAAGGTGTTTGTAGCTGCAGACAGGGAGGTTGGGGAGACACATTCACCTTGATTTTGTTCATGAAGTGGGACTAGAGACAGGTTCTCACTGTACCAGGCGCTGTGGAGCCAGAGGGAGGGCAGGGTTGAGCACTGGAAAGGGGAGTGACTTTTGTACAGTAGTTCAGCTGATGAGCAGGAGACTTAGTGCCCAGCTCAGGCCTGCCAGGCCCCAGAGCCCAGGATTTTTTCCTGCTGTGCCCTGTTGCTTTGCACTTCTGTGCAAGATCCCCACAGTGGCCTTTGGCCTTGACCAGCCAGAAAGAAGCCAGAGCTCTTAGCAGGGCTGTGGGGCACTTGGACTGGGCCACAGGCCAGTCACACCTGACCTGCTTCTGCCCCAGGCTCCTCAGCCTGGCTGATAGAGATTTGCTGTCACTTAGCTGGAGCTGCTCCAGCCAGGCATCCCACCCCTCCGTGGGCCATGGGCAGGGGCCTGGAAAGAGCTGGTGCCGTGTCCACCTGAGACCTCTCCTTACATGGCAGTTATAACTGGGTCAGGTGGTGCTTTGGGCTTTTTTTCTGGCAACAGAGCATTTCCTGAATGACCTAAGCCTTTTTTACCTTGAAGACTCAGAATGTTGCATCTGGAAAGGATCTTTAAAATTATTGGGTCCAAGCCCCGTCAGATGATGTGTGAAATGTCAAGATTGAGCCTGACGATAGATTTGACTGTTCTAGTTTTGCCCTGGCTCAAGTGGTTTAGATTACCTGCTCCGTCATGATGCAAGGAAACTGGTTCTCATGCATGCCTGGTGGAAAGCAGCCTCACTGCTTTTCTCTGTCTTTTTCTGTCATACATAAAGACACATACATTTCTCTCCCCTGTATATGCACTGGATAATCTGCGTATGTGAACAACATCACTAATGTCACATAGACAACGAGAATTGTTTAAAATAGTGCATTGGAG